TTTTAACATTTGAAATAATATTTCTAGAAGCTCTTAAGTTATACTATGTGGTAATTTTATTTAGACGACAACGTCTTTCTTTTGGCTCCAAAAATTGCAATTTTATACGTATGAAAAAAGTGGTTCATATTTGTCTAAATGATTAAAGAACAGCCTCTCTGAAAAGAATGTGCTAGAGTAAACATAAACATGGCACGGCTCCACTGTAAAGCCCTTTCTGTCACACTTCCCAGACTGAAGACCGGAACATACGTTTGTGTCCACATTTATGTGTGTGTGGTTGATGAAGAACACAACAGCCTTCTCATCTTCTATGTCGTACGAACAGATACACACAAGAAATACATGGGAGACCACGCATGAAGTGCAAGAAACTGGAAAACATCGAGTTCGAAACACATCCAACGAATAGGGGTCAGAAAAAGATGAAACACATCTTGAATTTGTCATCCTGAATGGAAAACTTTACGACCCCATTGGCCTCCTTCATCACCTCCGCTCTGGCGATGTTGTAATAACGTGCTCACTCAGGCTGACAAGTTTCACACTTTCATTTTCACTCTACACACTCCAGAGAAACAGTGTGTGGGGAAAGCGGTGTGATGGAGCATCTGAAGAGATGCGTCTCACCTTTGACGGACGGGAAATTAAAAGTGAGGAGAACTGATAACCGCAGATGTATTTGAGCATTGAACGGGTCGAGTTGCTGCAGAAGTCACGACAGAACAACGCGTGCCGTAAGTAACAAATGTTTGTCGTGCCTGATACCTCAGCATCTGACATCCAACACAAACCGTACGTCCATATTGTGACGGACTAAAAGCGGTACAGTCCCATAATTGGCACTTTCGCGTCAACACTCTGGCACCTAGTGAATCAGGTACCTTCATTGTGTTCAAAAGACTAGAACATAGCAGCTAATTGTGCCCAACGATTTCTGTCCTTCATCTTTACCAATTAAGAGAACAAAATCACTCAATCAACCGAATCTGTAGACACCGACAGCCACTGAAACACTACAAACATGCATCTGCAGACATGTTTTCAGGATACTTTTGACTGTGAAAGTGTAGCAGTAGTTAGGAGTAAATCCCTGAGCCATGCATCACTTGGCACCAACAGTTCCTCCACTCACTAATCCTCAGCTGGAAGCCTCCGTTCGCTGTTAATCAGTCTGCGGTCTCAGAAGTCTCTCCTCATAAACCGAGTATGGTGCTACACCATCCCACATAATGTCACATTGCACAAAAAGATCAAATGGAGTAAATACATAAATGCAATCACTGCATAGATGACACAAGTGATCAGTGGTCTACCCTGAATCTTTAAAAGGTGCATAATACGAGATTGGGAGCATTTCTGTTGCCTCTTTAGGGCTCTCAACATGGCGACGCAGCTTGAGGCGAACGGTGCCAACAGTGCAAAGTGCAGACAGAGCCAACCGCGTTTGCCGAAGGGGGAACCGGATAGTGGGTGTCAGCTGTAAACGCTGTGTGAGAAGTGCAGAGCGCAGGCCGTGGACTCGCTCACATGCACCAACATGCACTAAAAAACACACACTGCTGGCTCAGGAAAGGAGAAGCTTGGACACACACACACACACACACACAAAGCTATACTTTAAATTGGCAAACAAACAAAAACGTGAATCATCCTGATGCAGATTCTTGCAAGCCCATCATGCATTCATGGGTCTTAAGAATAAAGACCGAGCACGCAATGATCCGAGTGAACAGATTTATAGGACACACCGTGCCGAACAATGTCGTGAAAGGAACCGTCTGAGAGAACGATGTGCAGGGATACAAATCATCTTTGGATCTCCTCTGTTGAAGCCAATTATTTTTGATCTGACTCAAACGCCGGTCGTTGGGAAACATGGCACTGCTTAACGGTTACTCGCTTGAACTGCGAGGATCTCGATTAGGAAAATATAAGATAACAAACAATGAAATAAATAAGAAAGACGTTATTATCTGCATGCTGTTAGCTGCCTAACAGAACACAAAATACAGAGACAGAGCAGAAATAGGAGCAACATTGTTTCTACAAGAAAGAAAGTCAGGAGCCGACACTGAATGATGGCGAGAACAAAACAGAGACACTCACATCACTGCGGTATCTTAGCAACAGATGTATGTCTATTTCGTGCCAAATATAAGAAAGTGGGGGAGCCGGGGATGGAGAACGACAGAAAGGCAACTATTAAGACGACTCCTGGAGGAGCGGAGGTCCCACAGAGTCACGTCGGGATCGGGAAGCCGTCTTCTGTAAAGTCTCACGCGGCCTCTAATGGCCCACTGGGCGACAAGACAGACAGGAGAATTACCCCGAAGCAGACTCCGTCTCTACAGAACATCACTGTAACCTGTGTCGATCCTTAAATAATACACATTATACTTCCTACATTAAAAAGGTGGGTTCTCACTAAAGTTAGACGCACAGAAACGTTTGACATTTGTAGTAACTAGACCTGGCTCACGACATCATGGCTAATCATCCAAATCCTCCATTCTGAGTACTTACTGTTGAGCTCTATGAGAGACTATTCCTGAAGAAAGATGCTATTAAGTGGAATTATGGGAAATGTAGTATCCAGCGTTTCTGGAGCGTCACTTATGCTAAAGACAAAAGTCAGAATAACTCGGCTTCCATCTCTGGGAATTTAAACATTGTATTTTTAATCTGCCCCTTATGGAAGAGCAATACTTAATAGCCGGAGGAGACCGTTAAAAGGCTACTACCTTTGATTGCTTTCACTTGTCCTTCATTCTAGGTTATAAGGGATGCACAACGGATCAGGAAGTTATATTTTTAGTTTGAGTAGGCCTTTAAGTAAACTTTGTGGTTGAAAATAAATTGCATAACTGTACAACATAGCTTTGCGAGCATGTCTTTCCTGCTTTTGAATCTTTAATTTTTCTGTTGCTTATAGCATCTGAGGACGTTGGTTCTTTTTGCGGTGTGTACAGAGGTCCTATAGGAATATGTGAGGTAGAGCAGAGATAAGTGTGCACGCTACTGATGTTTGAGAACTGATTCAAACCAGTTTCCATGAGATATACCAAAAAGAAAAGAAAAAGACAGAAGGAAGTATAAACTAGTCAGGCAGGGTTGATGCAGAGGAGCGCATACAAAGCTGTTAAATGTAACCGTATCAAGCATGTCAGGGCATCATAGTGGGTTCAAATATAGATAGAAGAGAAAGCCAGAGGTGTGATAATATTAGACCACGTCACTGGACAAGACCTACCTGCTAACTTCCCCTCAGCTTTCAGAATCAAACTCGCCCCCCCCCCCCGGTGTGTCAGGCTGCCTGACCAATGTGTAGCTCCTCTGCACCAACGCACTGACTGGAGGTGGACACCCGGAGGCCTCTCGACAGCAACCGAGCGACACAGATAACGGATATTTCAGGCTCGACTCATTAGCAGCAACCAAAGGTGTCGGGCCGGCACTCACCAAACGAGGCATCATGCTGCTGCCTGCTGAGGCTTTTTTTAAAGCTCCAGCTATCAGAGCAGTGAGGCTGAACATGGAGTTGCAGACATGAAACCCAAATCAAATCAAAGAGGTGCAGTGGCTCAACATTTGGACCCGAGGACTACAGGCTGTGACTTTTTGTTTGTGTGATGGCTCCTATCCTCCATCTACTCTCCAGTGAAACATTGAGTTAAAGTTGAATAGATCGTTGTCACACCCGACGCTTGGACACAGGTGTAACTAAAGACATGTTTAACTGCTGCAGGGCACTGCAGTGGCTGCTGGGACGGAGCAATCGTTAATGTAATGTAAATGACACAACACAAATCACGTTATTCCCCAGATCACAGTGATTCATGATGCATCAACTAATTACTCATTATATCATATTATTTACTCATGATTTGCTAAAGGTTTAAAGATGGCTGACAGCACATCTGTGATATGTTACCGTATCACTTATTAATCATTTACATACGTTTAAAAATGTTTTGTTGGTGATTAGTTCATTATTTAATATTTAACTTAATCAATAAATCAATTATGACTGATTGATATTACAAAGTGTTGCCGAAATCTCAATTTAATGCTCGCTATAGAGTAAATAATTGAGCGTCTATTACATAGGGACATGCAAATGAGTGAATGTGTTATTTTGGACACATTTTCAGAGGAGCATGAAAGAAATAAGAGAAAACGCTGATGCAAGCAACAAAGTCTATTAAGATTCAGGTTAGCAAAATGTATTCAAAGAGATATAAAGTAGGAGATTGACAGTGAAGAAAAGACGAGAGTGAGACAGCGTCCTCACCCTTCGTCACATGTTCAGGTGTGGAGAGAGGAGAAACAATATTATACAAATGCCAAAAGAAGAAAAGTATGGAACTTATGCAAAGTTGCAATGATGACACCGGAAGCCATAAGTGTAGAAATGCACTTAGAACTGTGTGTCAGGAGATTGTGCGACGTCGGCACATTTAGGTGAGATGTGAATGTAGCTGTGACATGGTGTTTTACTTTGGTCTGGACTAAAGGAGAGATTACTTACTGAATGTTGACAGACACCGCACAACATCTCTAATGAATGCACGGGCAAATATTAGAGGCTAAGGATGCAGAAGAGACAATGAAACGACCCGTCAGCTGCGCTCAACTCAGGCCTAACCCGTCAGCAGTGAGAGACTCTCCGATGTGTTCACAACTCTCCGACTGCCTGCTGTCTGTTTCAAATTTGTCTCCATCGCAACGGACCAGACCGTCTGGCCTCCGCACGGCTGATGGAGTGCTGCGTTGTGATAATAGTCAAAGTAGATGCAAGACCTGGAACTATACAGTACATTTGTGAGGATTCTCAACCCCCGGACGTATTTATGCAAGATCGTTAGCTTCTGTTTTGGTTTTATAGAACTCAGACGTCGGTTTCACCGGGACGTTAAGAAGGGAAGCTGAGGTCGAGACACAAACAGGACTCGGAGTGTCGAGACGGATGGATTTTGAGATGGTGTTCTGTGTCTCACCTCTTAACAACGTCCTCACTGGGTGGTGTCTGGATCTTCTCATCTACGCTCATCGCCTGAGGACCAAGCTCTCCTCCTCCTCCTCCTCCTCCTCCTCCTGCTGCTGCTGCTATCCGTCCAGCTCCTGACTGCTGCTGCTCCCCTTCATCCTCCACCTCCTCATTGCCTGGCTTCTCCTTCCCTGGGCCCTCACTTTCGTTGTCGCTCTCCTCGCCCAACATGTCGTCCACCTGTTTTTTGGGGGGGTGGGGTTTAAAGAGGGAGCTTTTGTGAGATATTGTTCTAAGCTTTGGACAGGCCTAATGTGTCAAACAGCATATAGTGCACCAAAAGAGTCAATTCCTCTTTCTACTTTATGGATGTGTCGCTGATATATTAACAATTTCAGCATGCATACATGTATATCATAACTGCCAAAAATATCCTCACACTTTGCATATGGACCGCTCAGAAGTGCAGATAAGATTAATTATTTTCTCTCATTCCACTGAATACAAATGAAAGAAATCCACCAAATTAGAGCCAAACTATTACTTATTTTTAAGATGTCATAAAAGAGAAACTAATGAAATGTATTTAATGAATAATATCTACTTAAAGTCTCACTGTGTGCTTGAGCCTGTTTCCTTCCAGTTAATCATCAAATTAAATCTGGAAAGTGGATTTCCTTCTCAAAATTATTGGGTTACATGATGTTCTGTAATCTGGGAAGGTGATTAAACAGTTCACAATGTGTCATTTAAGCAACTAAAGACTGAAAAGTAAAAGATTTTTAAAAGATCAACATAACCCACAACATACTGTACAACCGATGATAAGGATCCCTTAAAGGAATAGTACATTTTAGGAGATACGCTTATTTACTTTCTTGCTCCGAGAGTTAAATGACAAAGTTGATAACAAAAAAAACTGTGCCTTGTAGCTGCAGTATCATTAAAGTTTAAGTGAGGAGAATTCACATTTCAGGTAGACTTTAAAAGTAAAGCATGAAAGTGGAAATTGTTAAGAACACTTCTCTGACATACTTTTGAGCAAACAGGGCTTCATGTGCAGAACAAATAACAGGACAAAAGTCAACTTCTCTGACACTTTTTCCCAGAGTGTATAAAGTACTTTCTGAGCACAAAATATATATATATAAAAGGGCAAAACACTTCCACATTCTGTGTATGCATTAGAGAACTTTTTATCTACTGCTGACAAATACCACTGAGGCACCGTACAATATCTGGGCGGAGGAGCAATTTTTGCTTCCGATCACAACCCTTTAAATAAAATGTGAAGTTGAGTATGTCAGGAGGGTTCTTACAACCATCGCAGTAATGGGTGCATTAACAACCCACCGTCATCAGCATCCTTTTCCTGGGTGCAATCAAAGGCCAAGAAAAGAGACCACCGTGAAACTTTTCAAAGCACAGCATGGCACCCCCGCACATCTACTTTACAGTCAGGTTATTGGTCTCATCACTGCAGAGTTTAGTATGTGTGCTTCCAGCGCATGGAATACATTTTTAGCACAACGCTTCAGTTGCTAAAAGGTTCTCAATACAACATTCAGAGAAACAATATAGCAGCAAACAACTATTATCTATGTAAAGATATAGTAGAGTAATGCAACAGCTGATAAAGCCGTCCCGACCAACAGTAAACACTATCAGCTCGGTTGCCGTTATTTGCGCTGTTAGCACGGTTAGCTGGGAGCCGGTGGCTGGGTGTGGAGGCACTAGATACGTTCTGAACTTTGGATTTAGCCCCGTTAGAGGACGGAACAGCAAACATGAAAGAGAGGAATGTGTTTTTTCTGCACTCCGAAAGATGCTGATTATCGTTTCATCATCCGCCTATTATGCACAAAAAGGCTGAATATAATGGAGCGGACATGAACACATCAACACACACACACCGATAAAAACGAAAGCAGATTAGATGTTTCCTGTCCAGCAAAGCTATCACGATTTCCCTCCTAAACTCTGGACGTAGGCCAGTTTTGAATGTGAAGTTAAACTATCTGAGGTCTTACTTTTGCTGAAAGATTCATGTGTGACAAAAGAAGCCGGCAGTCATTCATTTTAAATGAAAGCCAGCAATTAGGAGGAGCTGTTACTGTGGGAGCAGTGAACTGCTGATGCCCAGAGCGATGAGTTTAAGCTAGAGCCGGGGCCAACTGAAAGAGAATTTGATCGAGTTCCTGCATATCTTACTCCGTACTAAATGTCTGTTACACCTTGACAAGTTGGTGCCTCAAAATCTACACATTTTTGTAATTTTATCCCAATTTATTGCCATACATGTGTTAAACAAAATTGAAATATCAGAGAATGGGGAAACGTCCACTACACAATGTGTGTCAACGCTATTTAGTTTTGATACTTCTTGGTACCGAGTTCTTTCGGTGGATACCTTAAAAGGCATCGAGTACCAGCCCAACCCAGCCCTGACAGTTAGGCAAGTTTCAGGCAAGCAAAGGATAAAGTTCCCCTTAGGTCTGACTTTAAAAGAAAAACATTAATGTCTAAGTACATTAACGTAACTTGGAAGAGACACAGTAGAATACCTGCCAGTAGAAATCAGCAGCAGAATAGGTGAGGCAGAAACTCACTGTGAGAGCTCGACACATTTCCATGCAGCCAGTCAATCAGCGCTCATTGTCCTGAATTTCCGTTGTCTGTGTTATTATACAAAGAGCTCACGTCTTCACCAGTCTATAGTGGATTCCAGCTGACGGGGATACAAGCTTCACTCTCTGTAACAACCATTGAGTGGTCATTTAATGTGGGCCCAGAGGAAGATAAGGGCTTCACGTTTATAGAGAAAAAGCTCACCCTGAGGACCGGGCAAAACGAAGCGAATGCAAACTGCATTATTCGTAAATCAACCAACAAAAGAAAAGTCACATAAAAAGTGGTGAGGTCGGTGAAAACAGGAGCACAAAAAGCCTCCGATGCCACTTTGCTCATACCTGTAGTCACATGCATCAAAGGCCGAATGCCATACAGCTACTGACTCAGAAGGCAAGTGACGTTAACAACCACAACAAGAATTCACAGCTTTACTCCACCTGAGGGAAGAACTGTAGCATCTTTTGAGGACAAGCATTCTTCAGCGGCTCTGCAAATGTGAAGATGTTGGCTTCTTTTCACCATCATTTCACAAACGTTAGTCAGGGGTTGTTACATAACGCTGCACTGAAAAACATTACTTTGGAAAGGAACAGGCTCAGACATGAAATACTTCAGAGTTAATTCAGAGACTCTGGTGTACTTTACTCATTCTGTATGGCTTAGAAAAAACATCCCGACTGAATTGCTCCTGGTAGAATGGATGTTTAGGACTCAAACTGGACATCTGGCCACAGTGAAATGACTGAAGATATTTCTGTCAGGGGCTGTGAGCAGATGGAAACAAGAGCAGGGGGAATATTCATAGCGCTCCCGCTTTAGGGACCGGCGATTGAGTCTGGTTTGGATTATGCAGCGGCTTGTCTGGGAGCAGTAATTTGCTGGTTGTGTCACCATGATGGCTGACTGAACCTGACTCTGTCGCACTGGTTTGATGTCTTCTAACTCGCTGCCTTTTAAAAAAAAAAAACTGTGGCAGTGAAATGAGTTCACATTTTCAGAACCACGGACAGCACCGCACACTCTGCTTACTGCGACAGAACGATGACTTCACCATTACTGTTGCATTCTGGGCTATTAATCGTTTTTGTCATTTTCATTAGTACAAATGCCAAAAGGTGAATTAAATCCAGCTTCTCATATGTAACAATTTGCTGGTTCTTTTTCTCAAATATGATATTAAACACAAATATCTTTGGGTTTTAAAATGCTGGTTTGGCCAAAACAAGCAATCTGGAAATGTGACCCTTGCCTTTGGGAACTTTCTATTGTATTCTTACATGTTATGGACCAAAGGATACATGAAGAATATTTTCATATTTAACTAATTTATGAATTTAAAAAACGTAGTCTGCGATACTATATCTTAATAAATGAAAAATATTCCCTAATAAGCCTGTATATTCTGCAGACTCATGCAGAAGCTTGTCGTCTCCAGTACCGCCTGAGGAGTCTATCTCACCATGGATGTGGGAGATCAATACCTGAAGGCGGAGGGAGAGCTGAGATCACTGTGACTGATGACTGAGCTAGATCTCCTGTGATCCCAGGCCTAATGAGCCACGTCTCTGAGGGCCCCCATGGTGTCACACGAGCACTGACCCGTGTCTAGAGCTTCACCTTGCCGTGTATAATGATCATTCACAACTCATTTGCTCATGTAGCATCCGGATTTCATTTCATTTTGTGGGATAGAACAGTTGGAAAGTTTTCAGAAATCCAGATTTTGTAAATACTGAATCAGACATACACTGGCAGATTATTTGAGTAATCAATATGCAAACATCACATGACGAGACAAAGGTCTGGTGCTCTAGTTTTCTCATCATCTCATTTTAGAGTTCGCTAATATTATATTTATGAAGCATTTTAAACACCATCTATTATACATTTGTGGGTTTTTTTTGGTCTACATGTCCCTTGGTGCTTGTGTTAAATGCAAGTAGAGAGAGAGAAAGACCACAATGCAATGCAGTCTTCAAATCAAAGGAATATGGTAAAGTAGACGGTAGGCATGGTTAAATATTGCATAGGTTGGTCTTACTCATCGTATGCCATGTTGTCTTGTAAACTAAGCTATTGTTCTGTTTGCTGACCCTTAATGGAGAAAAGTAGCTACTGTAGCCGGGCTGATACTACAATCATAGCAACCGATTAAGCAGGAATACGTGGAAGACTTTTGGATTCAACGTCATGGATGGATAATCGGTGGATAAAGGGAACGCTCTATGCCGAGTAATGTCAGCTTTTTAGTTTTAGGCTACACGGGTTGAGTTCAAATGAATTTGAATTAATGATATGTTCATTCTAATTTGTCTTGAATGAAAAGATGACTACACAGAGCATCCTTTCCTGACTAACGACGTCTAACGAATGACCGATAGTCCGTACGGTGCACTATGGTTTAAGTGAAAGCAGAAGATGGAAGCCAATGCAGCCAGTCCGAGGCGTCACACAGCCAACAAGAGAGCAGTAATTTCATAGAAAGGTCACCCAGTTGGTACACCGCCGGGATTCTTTGCCGGCCAACTCGTGCGCATGTTGCTCCAGGTAAGCTGACGCATACCAGCATGTAACCACTGGTGACATTTAAACGCAAGGCCGTCTGCCTGACTCAGATGTGCACTTTGCTCCAGCCAATTAAGACAGGATCTTTCACTTTGCCCCTGAAGACCTAGAGTGTTTGAAACATCACAGACTGACCTTTAGCTGAGGCAGTCCGAGGAGGGTGACATTTGAAATACAGTGTATCTACAAAGGACCCTTCCTTGGAGTCAACTCCTTTACATTTTATACAGTACAGAAGGATTTAATTATGCTTACAGGAAGTAAATAGTCCTACCCTCAAATTATGATTTTGAGGGTAATTTCTCAGCCTTGGTGGTGGTAAGCGTCCCAAAACACAAATTTATGAACCATGTTGTATTACACACAGACTTTGCCTGATAAAAAGGCCCCTAAAGGCTTAGTCGCTTATCTTTATTCAGGTACATAAAAATTTGTTTGGGCCTGCTGCTTTAAATGGGTAATGTCAGCCCCAAAGATCTGACATTATCGACATTATCGAGCAGTGTTTCATCGCTGTTTTGTGCATTTAAAATTGGGTTTCATGTTTGATAGCAATTTGAGCACTACACTGGTCATTTTGCCGCAGTAGTCTTAGAGCTTGACGTTTTCTCTCTGTGTTAATGAGTCTGTGATAATTCACCACCTTTTTGTTGTTGTCTCGGACGATATTTGTCAATGAATTTTACTTTAAAAACGTATACTTAACATCAACAACAACCTATTATATAAATGTTGTTGAGTTGTGTATTTAAATTATCCTAAATCTTTCAACATTTTTTCAAACCTAGAGAAGTAAATAACATTAAAACAAGATAACAGTACGTTTTATTTGATCGCCTGCCAATGGCGTCATTTAATAAATTGACCTTTAGTCGAGTTTTAAGCCATATTTTTACAATGCAGTTAACCGTGAGCTAGCATAGCTGTACGTTAGTTCCTTCTCTCTTTGACTGTGCTACTTTTTTGGGGTCCATGCTTCTCATGTGTTGGCAGTAGATATGCGATGGCCATAAGTAAGAGGGAAGAATGCACCTGGTGAGCTAATTGTCCAAAATAGACAAAATAAAGTAAATCTGTAGTCTGTGGTCGGTTTCTGGTCTGGAAGTCGTCAGTACCAGTTGAGTTCATAAAGTGTGTACATTTTACTCTCACAACAATTAATACATTTAAAATGAGCACCTGACATTTTCATTTTTAATATATTATGAAATTAAAAGCATTTTTAAGTCTTCAAAATGAAATAAAAATGTGCTTTTCCTGAACCAATAGAGGGGTTGTGCCTTTTTTTTGGAACAAACACAAACAGAAGAGACAAAATCTTCACTCCGCTTTATGCTCAAGCATTCTAAATGTCACATTAACACAATAAGTGCTGCTGGTGTTTGGGGAACAATGGCCGGTGTGAGCACCGAGTACCTCATTAACCAACTCCATCATGCTAAATTAAAAAGAGGTTGGCCTTTAATTAAAATTGAAAATGAATGTCCATGCTACCACGAGAAGCCACAATAGTTCTGAATAAAAACCTAAAAGCAAAGTGCTTCTGCACAAAAAGAGAACAAAACACAACATTATGTCATATATGTAACAATATTTCAATTGTCACAGACGAAATTCAACCTCTGCATTCAACCCATCCTCAGCATTTAGGAGCAGTGGGCTGATCCGGGTTAAGGACACTTTCACGTGCGGACAGGAGGAGCTGGGGATCGAACCACAAACCCGCTCCATCCCTGGAGTCACAGCCGTCCCCATTCAGTAGATAGATTACCACATTAGTGGCATTAACTCTTCATAAGAGGAGACCTCCATACTTTCGTAATAAAACAACACAAATCATAAGTGGGGACAAAATCGATTTGAGATCCATTATTAATCCATAAAACCCTCACACATTCAATTCATCCATGTGGTCTCCAATGACTCAAAGATGTTCTCTACCACAACATATTGACAACATTTGCATTAGGCCGATAAATAAAGGGAACAGAGAGAACCTTCTTCAGTCTAACCACCTCAGCTCAAACACAACCCTACAACAAGCTTGACCCGACCGCTGACATAATGCACCATTTCCAGATTAATAATAGAAACACAATTTCCAGTCTGCTTCCTGCTGCAGTCGTCATCATGTCTAATGGGCACAAACTCAGACGTGGTCTTTGAAAATGCGCTCTGCTTTTTGCCTTCGCTGCCGTAGAATGACGGACAAATGGAGCTGCACAGAGAACAATTACCTCCAGGATGATTGTTTCGTCTGCCACTGAGAAAGGGAGGACCACCGAGTCACAATTAACCTGACTGGCCAGACGGTGTGTTACACAGAACCATCTCAGTAAATGTCACTGGAAACTGTTTGGAAAAGGGCAGGTAGCTTAAAAAAGAATACTTGGCAGGAGATTGGATGAACCAGATGTTCATGAAACTCGTCCTGAAGTCAGTAAGGAGAAGAGCGAAAACATCGAGAAAACTCCGTGCCGTTCTTCTCTCTTCTTTTAATAAAGAAATACTGTCCAGTTCTGATATAACTGACGCTGTGTCTACGCTAACCTCTTTAGGAGCCGCCATTATTGTTTTTGGAACAAACGGCCGCTTCTCTGTGTTGTTCCTTACACACCTAAGCCCCACCCACAGCGATCATAGCTCCTCTCAGGATGCTGATTGGTCAGAGCACCGGCTAGCCCGACACAAACATTACTCGTGTGATCTCGTGACCTCACGAGCAGCCGTGGAAGGTAAGGCTCCGATACCATGAACTCGTTGTTGATAGTCTAATTCCGGAGACGATAATGCTACATCGTGAACAACAAATCCGTGTTGAAATCTGCAGGTAGAGAGCTAAGTTACGTTAGCAGCTCGTGGGCAGCACAGTCGGGCTTGGATAAATACAGAGCTAACAGCTAATGTACACATTGGTGACTTTCTTTAGTCGTTCCAAGACACAAAAACAACATAAAATAATAAGCAAAGACAAATATCTATCTATAAATCAACATTTATATTAAATCAAAAGAGTATGTCGAAGCTTCAACCTCAAAACACATGTTTATCATCAGCCTCTTGAAAGCTTAGAGATATGGATATGAAACAAAAAGAGAAATGTTAAACAGCGGTTTGCTTTGGCTGTCTTCTATGTCAGTATATTTGCATCTCCTTCAAACATATAAGTGTAGGAGAGAAAAAAAAAAGAGAAGAAAGTCTATTTCCAGAAAAGGCAACGCACAGCAGTTCTCAGGCTGAGCCGTCGCCTGCAGCTACAGAGTCACTTAACTTCAGAGTTAATAACCGGGCCGGCTGTTTTGCATCCCAATAACAGGATTCGGTTCGTCATTTAAAGCATGACCAATCACACCGACGTCCTGATTATTCAATTAAGTTTAACTTTAAGTAGTGTTTCCTAGCAGGATCTATAACCTGTGTTCCATCCTTATGGGGAGGATTGACTTAATGTATTGATTTGTTATTTATTAATCAAAAGATGAATTGTTTTTTAAGTTTAGCATATACATGGCTATATTTTTAATTGTACATAGATCGACCCCACTGTCACTGATCCTGCTATATGAGTCAGTATCGGCCCTGATACGTATACGATATCGGTGAATCTCCATTTTACACGCAGTCATTTTCATCCGTTGTCAATATCAATTTGTGTAGCTTTAAGATGGCTTTAATATATAGTAAATCAGATTCATAATGATAAACAGCACTTTGTATAACAGAATGTTGCATACCTTTTGAAAGTAAATAATTACCACCGACCAACACGTGACTTCGCCTCAAACATGGCTCGTCACGTGTCATGTCCCACGTGAACAAGCCATGAAGCTCTTTCTTCAGAATAATCACCCACCGAGTGGCCCTTGACAGATCTCAAGGATCCACTTTGCACATTTTTCCCCCGCTGATGCATTAGCAGAATCCAGACTCCATTAAAGAGTATTATCCAAGTGGGAGGTTCAGAGCACTCAGACGTTCGTAATCACTTCACCTGCCGATACGAAACGCAGAGCGTAGACTGATGTAAGGATTTGAATATCAGAATAGGTGGCACGGCGTAAAAACGTAAGGAAGATGCAACACTAACACAGAGTACAAACGAATGACAAGACTAGAGACACAGGAAGTCGACCTGAAACATCACCACAAAATGATGCAAGGACACAAAAACCTTAAAAGCCCTTGCTGCCCGACTACACAAATATCCTTAATTATATAAAGTAGACTGACCACCAAAAGCAGACCAGAAGGCTCACATCAGCTCAAGTTAAGTCGGAGTGGAAGAAACGTCCCAACGACGAGGACGTCTTCGCGCAGGAGGTTTGCATCTACACTCAAAGCGAAACACAGCAAGTCCTCCGACAATCGAGGTGCTCGTGGCGACATCGACAAAGCCCGTTTGATTGTGGGGACTGGCGCCGCTTGGCCCTCCGACGCGCAGCAATAATCATGCAGGTGGATGCACTTATACCCCTGCTGTGAGGCTGCGATGGAAATTGAACTCTCGAAAAAACCACGCAGAGTCACTGCTGAGACAAGCGTATGTCATGGTAACCGTATATATAAAGGCTCTCGCAGCCTTTCTTACAGACCAGCAGGTAGTCCGTGTCAAGCATGATTGCAATGTGACTTAGTGATTGGCTGGCGCATAACAATAAGGGAAAGTACAACAGTATGAAGACATAATCAAATTGTAACATGTAACAGGCTCTCCAGCCTTTTTAGGCGGTTTTTGTTTGCTTATGAGGGCAGAGCGACACCAGGCTGACGTACCTCTTTGTCCATGCTCTCTAGATCCTCCTTGCAGAGCGTGTATAGAGGCATAGATTCCGACATGCTCGGCTGTCGTTTCCGACGGGACGGTCCCGGCTGCTCGTCGTCCTGGCTGGACCCCGCCGCCTCATCTTGCTGGCTCTGTGAAGTTCCCCTGTGGTAACATGACGGACAGATGAGCATAAAACAAATTCAAAAACACGATGAATGTGAACCGCTTCAGTGCAGCTAAATAAACGGACTAATAAGCTAGATGCTTAAATAGACAGAAAGACGAATAAATTATAAAGGGTTATCATCTTTAGAATTAATAAAAAGGAGGGCCATCTTCACAGGAATCGCAAGAGGAACAACATTCATTTGCAAACACTGATCATACATAATCAGCACTTTTTCCTCACAACACAGACTATATGCGGATGCGGAGTGCGAGGTGAAAGAGCGCCGGTTGAGACCGGAAACCAACGATGGGAGATGTGAAGGCTCTCCCTCTGAAACCGGGGCCCATTAGATGCAAATCTTATGCAAGTGGGGAGAGGAAGGTTCCATGTTTCCTCCTGGCGGCGCTTAATTAAACAGATCTTCTTTGATGATTAAATCCAAGTTCATGCAACTCGCTGAAAACTCCGCTGTGCCTCCAACCCATGAATTATGTGGTCCAGTTATATTCTATGTGTGCGATTATTAATTAGTGCCATCATAAGACATATTCAAATGACCGTGACTGTCCAGCAGAAAGAAAAAGATGGTTAGTTTAGCTTTTAATCCTCTGGAGTTGTGTGAAAAAACAGTACGATACACAGAGAGGAAACATTCAGCATGTGTGACTGAGAGATGATTGACAGACGGAGTCACCGAGGTGACTTTGTGGAACTGTTGGTGAAAATTAAATGAGGACATGACTGGAAAATCAAATATATATATATATCTATATATATATATATCTATATATATATATCTATATATCTATATATATCTATATATCTATATATAT